AAAGGAAACCATATCATCCAAGAATAATGGTGGACACAGTAATAATTAAAATATACGAGAAAATACAATTAGGCATTAACTATAAAAATCAAGGGGCGCCTGGGTGGCGCAGTCGGTTAAGCGTCCGACTTCAGCCAGGTCACGATCTCGCGGTCCGTGAGTTCGAGCCCCGCGTCGGGCTCTGGGCTGATGGCTCAGAGCCTGGAGCCTGTTTCCAATTCTGTGTCTCCCTCTCTCTCTCTGCCCCTCCCCCGTTCATGCTCTGTCTCTCTCTGTCCCAAAAATAAATAAACGTTGAAAAAAAAATTAAAAAAAAAAATCAATGATAACCACTTCTGCATATATTTAAAACAAACAGGTAAAACTAAAACTCCATTCAGTACTTATAATAACAGATTGATAATTAGTAAGTAGATAAAACATGCTACATGCTAGGCACCTTTTTTTACATTAGGGAGAAAGTCAGAAATACTAAAAAGTGGACTTTATCTTTTATTAGAAAAACATATAGTTAGGTATACATATAAAAATTTTAATATGAGCACTGAATAAATAGATAACATGTCCTAGGTCACAAAAATTAAAAAAAATTTTTTAATTAAATCCATATAAAACACATCGTCTCATTACAGGCAATGAAATTCAGAATTAGTAATAAAAATAGAGTAAATTTATATTTAGAAAGTAAAGACATATACTAAGTTAAATATAAATCAAAACAGACATTACTAAATATTTAAAATTGAACAAAACTACATACCAAAAGAAGCTATGCGGCTAATGAAAAACTTAGAAAAAAGTTTAGAGACTAAAGTTAACTTTAAAATAATAAAAAGCATTGAAATTAAATGAGTAATAATTTAACTCAGGAATCTAGAAAAAGAAAAATGATCTAATTTTAAGTAGACTGAAGAAAATAATATTGATAAAAGCATAAAGTAATGATATAGAATATAAGAGACAATAAAGAAGATAAAATAAAAAGACAGTTTTTTTTTTTAATTTTTTTTTTTCAACGTTTATTTATTTTTGGGACAGAGAGAGACAGAGCATGAACGGGCGAGGGGCAGAGAGAGAGGGAGACACAGAATCGGAAACAGGCTCCAGGCTCTGAGCCATCAGCCCAGAGCCCGACGTGGGGCTCGAACTCAGGGACTGTGAGATCGTGACCTGGTTGAAGTCGGACACTTAACCGACTGCGCCACCCAGGCGCCCCTAAAAAGACAGTTTTTAACAAAAGTAAGTGAAACAGAAAATTGTCTAACAATGATAACAAAAAAGGCTCAGATAAATAATATTAGGCATAAGAAGGGGACATAATTAAATATAAAATTAAAAATCTAAGACTATTATGAACAGTTTTATACAAATAAATTGGAAAGTATGGATTAACTGGGTTTTTTTAAATTAAAAAATTCTTTTAATGTTTATTTTTGAGAGAGAGAGAGAGAGAGAGAGAGAGAGAGAGAGAGAGAGAGTGAGCAGGGGAGCGGCAGAGAGAGAGGGAGACACAGAATCCCAAGCAGGCTCCAGGCTCTGAGATGTCAGCACAGAGCCTGACATGGGGCTCAAACCCACTAACTGTGAGATCATGACCTGAGCCAAAGTTGGATGCTTAACCAACTGAGCCACCCAGGTGCCCTGATTAAGGATTAATTGTATATTTTTCTTTAAAAAAACCCCAAAAAACAAACTTACTTCCTAAAATTAAGATGAAATAGAACACTTGAATAAACCAATAGCCATGGAAGAAACTGAACTGATAATCAGAAGTCCACCCTACTCTACCTACTCACTATGGACAGAAAATACTAGGTCCAGATGATTTTACAGGCAAGTTTAACCAAATTTTCAGAATAGGTACTCCCAATTTATATGAAAGCTATTTCAGAAATAGAAAAAAAAGAAAAAGAAAAAAATGAATGTTGCTCAACTTACTTTATGAGGCTAGTACCACTATAACACCAAAACTTTACAATAACAGTTGAAGAAAGAAAAATTGAAGACTAATCTCCCTGTGCAAACATATTACATAAAATATCAGCAAGTTAAACTCAACCGTGGATTAAAAAAACATACCAGGACCAAGTAAAGTTTTATTCCAGGAATGTAAGAAATGTTTAATATCAGGATCAGGAAATACATTAATATCATATAAAATATTAACATATTAATGGGAAATTTTATCATATTAATGCAGAAAATACATTAGATAAAATTCAACTAGTATTTCTGATTAAAAATGCATTGCAAACTATAAATAGATGGTGGCAACTTCCTTAACACAAAAATTCCAATTTATCAAAATCCTAGGCAAATATCACATAACAGATATTCCTAATATCATTGCTTTTATTCAACGTTATATAAAAGTCTTAGTGCAGCAATATGACAGGAAAAAGAAATTGAACACTTATGAATTAGAATTGAAGAGAAAAGCTGTCATTATTTACTGATGATACACATACCTATGTAGAAAATCTGAGAGAATTTTCAGTTTAGTCATTAAAACTAATAACAGAGTTAAGCAAAGTTTCTGAATATATAGTAATGATGACCAATAAACAACGAAATGGAAAGCAGACTCTACATAAGAGCTCAAAGATCCAAGTAATATGAGAAGAAATCTAACAAAATAGGTTCTAGCAAGACCTTTATGGTAAAACTTACAAAAAATGAATAAAGAACAAGAATAAAGATCTGATTTAGTAGAGGAATATAGTCTGTTAATGGGTAGAAAGACATAATGTTATCGCAATGTCAATTCTTCCCCAGGTTATTCTCTAAAGTTAATGTCACTCCAAATAAAGTTCAGCAAGGCTTTTGCAAAACTTGACCAACTAACCCTAAAATTTATATTGAATAATAAAAGCCCAGAAGGAGCCAAGAGAACTTGAAAGAACAATGTAGAGATTTGTCTTACCAGTTAACAAGAATATTATAAAGCTATGATAATTAGTTATAATTAATTATGATCATTATAGTGTTAACACAGGAATAGAGAAACAAATGGTTGAAATACAGATCCTAAGAATAGTTTTAATGTAGGCAAAAGATGGCATTACAAATTAGTGGGTAAGGATACCCAACTTGTTAAATGGTGCTGGGATAATTGGGTCATCTATGGAAAAAAGAAAATGGGGTGCATTTAAAATACCACATACAAAAATAAATGCCAAGTTTACAGATCTAAATGTAAAAGGCAAAACTTTGAAACTGTTAGAAGAAAATCAAGGAAGGTTTTCATATGGATGTATTTCTTAAACGACATAAAAACACAAACTATATATATATATACATACACACACACACACATATATACACACACACACATATATACACATATATATGTGTGTGTATATGTATACACACACACACACATATATATATATATATATATATATATAACATATATGTACATGTTTTTAAAGTAGGCTCCACAGTCAGCATGGGGCTTGAACTCACTACCCTGAGATCAAGAGTTGCATGCTCTAACTGACTAAGTCAGTCAGGCGTCCCAGCACAAACTATAAAGGAAAATATCAATAAATTTAACTACATTAAAATGAGAAACTTTAAAAAAATAAGCTACTACAGATATGGTTAAAAAAGAAATTACACATTAGGAAAATATATTTGCAATCTCTATTACCCAAAGGATGATAATCCAGAATACTACGACAACAATCCAGAATACGACAACAACCAAAACCAAAACCCAAACCGGTCCAAATAACAGTAGCAAAACAAATAACCTAATAGTAAGATGGGGAAAGACCCAAACAGGCAACACACATGAGAGAGTCCTGATGGTTTATAAATTAATTTTTTTAAATGAGGCATTATTTAATACCTAACAAACTGACAAAAATTTTAAAAGCCTAGCCATTCCAAATGTTGTGAAGAATGTGGAGAAGTTCTCATGGGTAGTTAATGAGAATATGAATTGCCACCACTACCATTTTGGAAAGAGATTTTACATTCCTAGTGAAAGTGAAAATGCATGTTTCTTACAGTTAAGCAATTCTTCCTCTGTGTAAAAATATGTATAAAAATGTTAACTGCAGTATTTGTTGTGATTGGGAAATACTAGAAATAACGTTCAACAACGAGAGATTCAAGAAATGCATTCTAGTGATATCTACAGTAGAATACATTTTATATAAGCCACACTATGGCTTTGGCTTGTGTAAAACTAATTTGTAGTGATAGAGGTCAGAATAGTTTTGCTTGTTTTCAACCTCATGTTAAAGCTTTGGAGAATATCACACACGGGAGGGCACAAGGACTCTTCCTAGGTATTGTGAATGTTTTGTATCTTGGATTGGGTGTTGCCTCATGGAAACACACTCACATAAAAACTCATCAAGCTATCCACTTAATTTATGTACACCATCATATGTAACTTAGAATAATAAAAGACAAAAAACAGTTTTGAAAATGAGTGTGCCAAATTAGTTAAGGTTTGTTCAATTTGGGTGCGGGATTCTTGTATGCTCATGTTATTCTTTATATTTTTATGTGCTAGAAATATATTACTTTAAAATAATTGATAAGGCGAAGACTACTGCTTTTCCTAACTAGAATTAATCAAGGTGAAAGAAGGCACTAGTGTCACATTCTTTTCACTGTCCCTGACAATAGACCCGACCCCAATACTCCAGGAATCAGCAAGCGGTTCACAGCCGTTTAAACACACTTACAAAGTGCTCATTTTGTCAAACCAAAAGCAAACCTTTCATTTCTTGACTATGTGTAGAACCTAGGCTTTCTTAAGTGAGTGACTGGCAGCATATATTGTTGATGTGGCACTACCAGTGCACAAAGATCATCTATTTAGGTTTTCAACAAAGTGGGGGATGCCTCGCCAAGTGGGGGACAAGGTGGGGGATGCCTTGCCAAGGACTTTTCTGATATAAATCAGCAGGTGGTTTGGCATCAACATTGCTATTTGCTCGTGCGTTTCACCTCTGGTTTCAGAAAAGAAAAAGAGACGATACCTTTTCAATGCTGTTTCAAGTCGACCATATGGAAAGCAAGGTTTTATTCCAGCCAATTCTCTTTCTCTCAAAGCGTGGAGGAAAAGTGCCAGTCACTGCTACACTCGCCACCAGCCACAGTACAGATGTTTGGAAAATGCAAAAACAGAGAAATGAAACAAAAAGAAAACCCTCAAAAATAAAGTTTTGCATAAATGAAAAATAGAGTATATAATTATCATAGCTGCAGAAAGGTAAATGCATTTTTTTAAATTTTCCCCGTGTGCTAAATTAAAAGAACCAAAACAAACAAAAACATTGATGTTTTAATCAGTGTTTTGTTGGGGAAACTGACAAGGACCAACTCAAACATGGCTAAAAATGGGAATAAAAAGCAGATTTCTTTTAATCTGATAAAAGATTTTTTGTCTCTAAGAATGTTAGAATATGATCTACTTAAACGAATATTTATTAAAGGAACAGACCCGTTTAAAAATATGTTTTCAGGTGCCAAAATGGGAATGGAGAAAGTGTTTCCTTGAAACCTTGTAAGAGAAAAAAATTCACTGAAATTGTAATGGTTCCTTCCATGACTCAGATTAAATACAGCTTAGGAAGAAATATCTCCAAACTATTCAATCGTACGTCCCTAAACTGGCTTTGCCAGTATGCGACCCCAGTTATTCCAAAAATGAATGCCCTATTAGACTTAAGTACATTAATGTAAGTTATTCAAATGAGAATGTTTGTTTACAAGAAGGTTTTAGGCCTTGATCTGCCACAATCTTTTTGGGTATCTTCATTCATGCTATTAAACATCTTTTGGTCTCAGTATCCACCTCTCAAGCGTGAGTATGACACAAAGTCACTATCATCAAGTTCCTTTCCAGCCCTAAAATCCTATGAATTTAATGAGATTACTCCAGCAAAAGAATTTTTCTTTTATTTCTTCCTTTCTTTCTTAAAATAAATAGACAAATAATCAAATAAGTAAGTAAATATATATTAAAAACACATACACATACACTAATCAGCTATCACTCTGAATAGGAAGAGGGTACGTTTTTTATTGTTGGTACAATTATCTATTCCCTAATGTGTATTTAAAAAGAGAATTCCCATTAAAAAAAGATTTTTATTTTTTTACTGAGTCAAAAACAGCATACTATTTCTTTGCCATTTAAGTTCTATTAAAAAAGAAAACACAAAATCATTATAGAAATCCTATTAAGGAACTTTAAAAAACAAAGAAAAAGTCACTAAAATTCCATTTAAAATTCAAATAGTTTGTTTACAGGTGTTCTTTTTCAGAAAATGTAAGTGCCCCAACCTCAAACTACTTCCTCCTCCTTTTCTGGGGACAGATCCTTCCCTGTGTAAAACGTAGGACCCTGCCTCACACCCTTCCCACCTGTCTTCTGAGGTAACAAAGCTGAGGTATCGATTGCAGCATGAGATATTTGGGATGGGAGTAGAACATTTCATCTGGGAGACAGTACTGTGGTCAATTTGCCAAATCTAAAAGAAAGGTAAGTCCCATCACTACTTTGGCAAGAAATATGGGCTCCCGTGGCTGAACGACGATAACCATTTTTACACAAGATGGTTAAAAATGAAAGCACCTGAGGCAACAGCCAGAAAATAAGTCTGAGAATGCGAGTTTTTCTCATCGATGGTTAAATCAGACAAGACAGTATCATTGCACCTTTAACCAAGGGTCTAAATGGAATCCAGGGCACCTGACACCTTGATGAATAAGAGAAGCTCAGCTTTATGAAAAGGCTAAAGTCTTAGGGCCAATGCTCCATTGTTCAAGGGCTGGTATGCCCAAGGCACCAGCAGAGGCAGAATGCAACAGGCAAGTCTCCAGTTACAGGCGACCGCTCAGCTCTGTGTGCTGATAAGCCTGAGACCCACCACACTGCACACTCAAGGAAGCTCAAGGGTGGGTCCCCCACGGGAGGAGGGCTACACAAACAGTAAGGCAGGAGTTGGAAGTTGCACAGTGTGTGAGCACTCCCTGCTGGCAGCTGAGGTTGGAGATCAACGGGGAGTGTGTTAGAGAGGGCTAATGAAAGTGTCTGCAAGGAGGCCAACGGACATTCCTCACTTTTCAGGGATAAGAGCATGGCTCTGACTAGGTTTAGATAGTTCCAGATGCTATTCTGAATGGGGAGGAGGTTAGGAGAGGCCACTAATAGGGGAACTCCAAGAACTGGCAAAAACTATGTTTGAAGCTGGCATACACTTTTCATTAACTTTCCCAGCTATTAATATTTTATGAAGTATATACAGGTCTGCGTGTGCACACGTGTGTGGGGAACGGAAGAGGTGCAGTAGGAAATGAAATCTCTGTGCATCTCCCTTTATCCCAGAAAGAGACTCCTTGGGACAGTGCAACGTGTTTGGAACATTTACATTTTTCCAGGAAATCCTACCCATAACCCTGACAGAACTGCCTGGTGTGTCCCCTATACTGCTGCACCTAAGTTCTGAACAGGTGGTCCTTGTTTATCTGTACAGCCTGGGGCAACAACACTGAGAGTATCTCCCTAGTGCTCCGCTCTGTTAGGGTTCTTCTGTAGAGTAAGATGAAGGTCAAGATGGCAGCCTGCTAAAAGCAGCAGTATTTCAGTTGCAGGAATAACTTGCTTGTCATCAACTTGTTAATGCAATAGTCAAACATTTCTTTGACATGCACAGTATCAGCTAACTTCAGCAGATAAAGGGTCTAGAACAGGAAGATGCTGCAGATGCTTTAGCTCCGAGGAAGGCTTAGCAGAGCCAAAACGTCAGCAGGGCCTGTTTGTTCCATCCTTTCCATCGGGCTCTGTGAAAGAAATGTTAGATTACTGCAATGACAAGTTTGTGACAAGCAAGTCATTTGTGCAACTGGTGCGCTCCTGTTTTTATCTGTTTACCATTCAGACTTGTGAATGCCATTTCAAGCACTTACAGGATTTCTGGCTCCCATTAAGGGGAAATGGTTCCTCCATGTTTAGAATTTTCTGCCTCAAAGAGAATTACTAAGCAATTATTTATTCCTGTGGTCACAGTGTCACACAAAAGCACTCTTGAGTTGTTTAGTTGGACTCTGAATCATGAAATGGAGTCCTGCAGACTGGATAGCTTGGAGCATCAGAAATTTCTTGTCTAGTTTATTGGAATGACTACAAAGAAAGCCTGTGAGAGTCAATAAAATTGTGGCCAGCTTGAAATACCTTGCTCTTTTGCTCTGGGATCATATATCAAGGCCATATGCTTCAAGGCACATAAACTCACTTGTAATGAGTAGATCCTGGGAAGCCAAGGCCTGACTATGTCACAGACACTGACATGTGATCTAACATATGATAGTTTTGGTGACAAGGACTGCTTTAGCTGTTGAGAAGGGAACTGACACAGCTTTCTCCCTGTATCCTGTGGGTAATCAGAGGGCAAGTCCAAATCCAGAAAACATTTTAAGCATGTGGTAAAAACTAATAACAGAATATAAAATTTCCTGGGGGTCATCCTCTCTAGGCTGACTTTTTCTCAGTAAATGGAGACCCTGGCAGATTTTAGATCAAGATTTCTAGATTGATTCATTGGATTCCTCATCTGAGATCACTGAGTGACTTTTGGTGAGTCATTTTAACCTCCCAGGAAGACAGTATAAAATAATATCTTGTTCACTTGACATGAATGGGCTCAGGGTCAATGTTATAAAAGATGAAGAGTGCCTTCAGAGTTCAAGAACAAGAACAGTATTTCCTAGAAGTCATGTATTCTTTTTATGATTTGAAATATTTGCACATTGTTGGTACTGAATTTACAAACCATTGTAAGTATACCTTTTAAAGAACAGAAGCATGAAGTTTTGAAGCAGGGAGATAACACAGTATCTGGGGAAGCAGGTCAAAGCTGAAACAGAGTGTGGAATGTCAAGGACCAGACAGAAAGTAATGACGTAAGATGAGGCAGGGTTTGGTGTAAGTGACCAGAAAACGTTACGAAAATGGGTAACAGTCCTCACTGAATAAAAATTTTATTGTTCATAATTATTTGCCAGACACTACATGTGTTACACAATTCACATGTGTAATATAATCTTTAGAAGAGCTCAGTGGTGTATGCATTATCAATTTTTTTTAACATGTGGAAATGAAAACTTAGAGTAATTTAAATACTTTCCCATAAATCTATCTGTTAAGTAGCAGAGGATTGAAACCAACTTTCCTCACTTTAAGCCCTTAGACTCTTAACCACTAGAGAACTAAAGTCATTTCCACTACCTTCAGAAGACTTTTCTCTCTCTGGTGTACTGGAAAGCATTTTAATCTGTAAATGTAGATATTCAAGATTTCATATAAAGGGGCCAGTGAGAATATTCTGGCTCTAGCTGTGTTGCCGCCCTTTGTAGGCCCCTGGGAAAGCTGAGCCTCATCAGGATGTCATTCCTTTTGCCTCAGCCTGACCTATTCCTACTTGCATACCCTGGGGAAGAGGCGAAAGTGATTCCAACCTAATCACGCATCTCTGCTGTGAATGCAGGGTGTTTGGCCGCATCTCCTGTGTCCATGCCAACCCCTTTCTCTCTCTTCGTGTGTGCAGCCTTTAGTCCCCCTACTCGTTGCTCCCATGTTACCTCCAGGGAGCCTCCTTTTGTCACTTGTCTGCTATTCTTTTCAGGTGGGGGAAGGGGCGGACATCTTTCTTACCATGACAAGGATCTCTGAAACAGTCTAAACTTCTAACTTTGCACAGAATGTATCCTTTGTTCAGTTTTCTGCTTTGTTTCTCTTTAATGATAGCTTTGCTACAGGTCCCATTCGAACGAAACTTGGAGCTATGCAAATCAAACTGGAAAGCAAGACTTTGCAGCAGCTCCGTCTTTAAATGAGTATATGTCCAAGAGGTACAGACCTCTGAGGGAGGCATGTCTTCTGAATATTATGTGTCAAATAGCTGCTTTCCTTGTAAGAGTGGCAAAGAATAAGCTCAGTGAGATCTGTATTGACATTCCCTCATCTCTTTTTAGTGTGTGTTCAGAGTGGGTCACGAGCATTTAGCTCACAAACTGTTTCATTTCTTTTGTTTTTCATGATATTTCTACTTTTTTTTTTTCTTCTAGGGGTTT